TGATCGGAATCAGCTCAATCTTTCTACACTGCACAAGTACATGTCTATGCATCAGGATATGTAATAAAACTTAGGAATTTTCTACTTGTAATTTTTTGTGAAATTTTACAAAAATTCATGTACTATATACAGGAACTTTTGTCCAATTTTGAAGCAACTTTAAAAAATCATAGAAAATCCACACTTGATTGGAATTAACTCAATCTTTCTACACTGCATAAGTACATGTATATGCATCAGAAAATGTAATAAAATTAAGGAATTTTTTACTTGTCAATTTTTGTGAAATTTTCCAAAAATCCCTGTATTACAGGGACTTTTGTACGATTTTTGAGCAACTTTAAAAAATCATAGAAAATTAAAATGTGATCGGAATTTGTTCAATCTCTGTTATTGTTATAATAAACTTGATACTACACTAAAATATGGGTAAAACAGTTTACACACCACACAGTAATTAAAACAACAGCTAAATATCTCAGTATATACAGTAATGTTGTACAATTAAAAAGATATAATGAATATAAGCTGTCCTATCTTGGTAAAAGATGATCAATCCCCTTGAGAAGGAGTAAGAATTCATTAGTGTACATCAAAGTCCATCTCACTATGAATAGAACAGTAAAAACACTAATATACAGCAGTTAAAACAGCATTGTACTGTATTTTAAACAGTACTTTACCTAATTGTACTCGTTCAGTAAAACAGTAAAACTCATGCTTATGAGTTATACATACACAATATTATATACAGTATTGATCTATAGTGTAATTACAGTTGTAATGGATGAGGTAAGCCTCCAGGATTGAGTACAAGTCCCCAATGATAGTGAAAGACGGGCCCGTCGCCCAAAGCTATCAAGAAAGAAGGTCCTTTAATATTTTAAGTCCCAGCCAGGGTCAATTTGTTAACAAGAATAAGTCTCTTTGCACCAGACATCTTCACTAGTATGTAGGATGGGCCATAATCATTAACCACACCTACCAATTAACTCAGACCTCCTCAGCTCGAGCACCTTTCAGGTTGGCCCATTCCTTTATACAGGGGGATCTGCGCATGCGCAGATCACAATTAATTAAAAGGCTAATGTACGGGCAAGCCCAGGTCATGACATGGGCTTGCCCGAGGCATGCATGGGCTTGCCCCGGGCATGCATGGGCTTGCACGGTGAGCAATCCCTTTGATGTATTGCGCAATATCCGGTCACTAGAAGTTCCTCCTCAGCTCGAGCAGCTTTCAGGTTGGCCCATTCCTTTATACAGTGGGATCTGCGCATGCGCAGCAGACAATACTGGCCACACCCACAAACCTTCTGAGCATGCTAGCTGATAATTTGAAAGGTTGGTGGGTGTGACCAGTATTATAGAATAAAGATCCTAGTTAGTCTCGCCCCGCCCCTTCGCTACCTGCGGAGGAAGGGTCTGGAGACACTCAAGGCAAAAATGTGTGCTCATGCAGAGAAATCCACGTCCCAATCAGATTGCTCGAACCACGTGTAGGACAAGAAGTCATGTGACCGAAGAGTTCTGTTTAAGACAAAAGAGGAAGAATGAGGACCAAATAAAGGAAGAAAAGAGCCTGTAACGCTCTCTGGACTTCTTTCTCAAAGTTTTAGATCAGCATTATCGTGCTGCTTACTACAACGACGCCATCGCATTTATGACGTAATAAACTGTCACATTGTTTACAATAAAACGTCATCGATAAAAAGTAAATACTATGGCGCTCTGTGAAGAGTTGCTGCTCTCAAATCTGCAAGAGATGTCCAAGAGACTGTATCCTCATCTTTTCTTAGCTGCAAAGCATCTGTTTAAGCTATCTTGACGGATCTGGTCTCCTCTGTCACATGACGC